CAGCACTATACAACTTACTTAAAAGGAGAGCGCATGAGAAGGGGAGGCGGCATTAATCGACACATTGTGGGAAGACAAGATGGGAGGGAAACACACTGAACTCTTAACTCTGCCTCCAGATACTTCTCTGGCCAAGACTAACATTATTGCCCTTAATGGAAGGAAATTGAAACAACTTCCAAAGTAATTCTCAGTCTTTATTGCAGAAGGCAGAAATGAGTGGAGGCATTTCAGGGCTAGAGATGGAGACAGGAGGTTCAGAGAGTCAGGGAAATATCTGAGGGGTGTGTGTGTGTGTGTGTGTGTGTGTGTGTGTGTAACAAGGGGACAAGACTTTTATCCCAAAGCCATTGTAAATCTAAAGCAGGGTTTATCCTCCTCTGTGAAATGAAAATTGGGGCAGGGGGTGTTGAGATCAAGAACAACATTTGAGCCACAAAGACTGTCATGGGCCACTGCAAGTTTGCAGAATTATATGTAAATGACCTAAGTTTTGAATGTGGTGGCCTTGTGCTAATCCCAGAGAGAATATCTACTTAGCAAAAGAAAGTGAGGGAGGGTGGTGCGGTGGTTTTTGTCTAATTTGGTTAACAGTGGCCAAAAGTTGAATAAATTAATAATAATTTATATTTCCAGGGTAACACTATCTCTGTAATGCTTCTATGCTGCAGGAGTTTCTGAATGGCTTTGCGCCAGGAGAGAGAGAAAGAAATAGTCAAAGTTTTTTCTCCCTTCTTCTTTCTCTCTCCATATTCTATCTCAAGGGATGAAGAAAATGAGTGTAAGACATGTTTTCTAATAATGGGCGCCAGCCACTCAATTTCTGCCGCTTCTATATTATCTCTGTGGACATTTAACAAGCGCTATTTTCCTACAGCGCTCATTTGGATTTGGAGCCACAAGTGTGTCTTGACAAAACAGACAGTTATTTCTTCCCTGTCCTCAAATTGTCCATCAATATGACCTCTTTTTAAGTCAATCTGTCACACCCGGTTTTTCTGTGTTTACAGTTTAAATGGAAGAAATACACTATGCTTTATACTCATTGTAATGAGGATTTTTTTTGTCTGTCTCAGGATAATGGAGCTGATGGCTCACAAATTGTGGGTCAGCCTCTTCCATGACCTTAGTAAACAATCCAGCTCAGATCTCCCTAAAGCCTGCAGAATGAAATGGAATAAGTTAATTTACCTTCCGTCAACTGATCCGGAAGCCCAAAACACACTGAACAATGTAAAATACTGATTGACACACACGTAGGGAAATATTTTCCCCCATAGCACATGAATGAATGCTGGTCTGGAACACAGCAAAGGTAAGTGCAACCTGAGGTAATAATAGGATATTAAAATACAGGAATATTTGTGGGGCGAGAGAGAACTACACTGCAGCATGAGTAATACATCTGAATTTAGAAAGTAACTTTTAGAATCAATGGATTGCCAAAACCTATACTTTTTGTTAGTTTGCCAAATTTTAAATCATTTTTTTTTAACTAACAACATTTTTCTGGTGTTAACTCTTTTGAAGTTTTAGTCAATGACACTTCTGTGGAACTGCTGAAAATGAAGTCTGTTTGTCCTTTACATGGTTTTGAGATCAAATATCTGTTTATACATAAGAATGAAAAAATGCTGTACAATGACATTACTTCAGTATGGCATGAAGGATTTTTTTCCCATGGGGGAAAGCATGAACTTTGAGCTCATTGGACAAAAAGAGGTATGTTAATGCAGTTTAAAAATAAATAGTTTATATGGAAAGAGAGAAACAGCGCAGATCTAGCATCAGCTGCCATATGCAAGACAAACAGTGCTGGATTACCAAATAGGCAGAGTAGCCTACGCGCCCCACGACTTTTAGGGGCCCCACGACAATGGATCAAAATAGTATTGATTTGATCTTGAGAGAAAATTACAAAAATGTATTAGGAGATAATCTGCAAGCCTAAATGAGAGACAGTGACCTGGGAGACTAGGGTTCAGATCTTCATTCATTCACGAAGTTCGCCTGGTGAACTTGGGCCAGTCACTGTCTCTCCACCTAACCTACCTTACAGGGTTCTTCAGTTGATAAACGGAAAAGAGGAAAACCATGTATGCAGCCTTGAGTTTTTGAAGGAAAGGCAGGATATAAATGTAACAACAACATGGGAGTTTTGGTCAGGGCGTACTTGAATTTCCTTTTTTCCTTATATTGAGATCTTATATGGAGTTTACCTTCATGGCAGCTATGCCTATGTACCTCAGCAAGATTTTGTTACCCTTGTTCTGAACAATTATAGAACCAAACTGTCAAAAGCCCTGGCAGTAAGTATTTTTCTTCCTTATTTGCTCTGTGTTTTACACTCCCTTTTTGGTTTCCATTTTATATATGGTAACATTCCATTCAGCCTGCAAAAGGTGACTGGGAAAGGGCATGGGGATTTGTCTTTCAGGATTTGAGTACTTCAACTTCTTCATCTTAAAAAAAAGCTTATCCTCATTGTGTAAGACTTCACCTTACTGTACAATGTAAAATTGGAGCCTTTCAATTTCCCTACAGGACTTCCTTGCATGTTTTGCATAAAGGCAGGAAGTGTACAATCTGAAAGCAAGTTAAAATCTCACTTCTTGCAGCCTCAGTGCATCTCTGTTGAATTGTACCATTACTTGGTTGAAATGCATATATAAACAGAAGCACAAACTATGCTGGAAAGAGCTCTCACACCTCAAGTAGGCTTAGTCATCATTTTCTTTATGGATTCACTGAGTCATTGTGCTTTGTTTTGCTTATTTAAATATGTATACTCTGCGTTTTGAGTAGCTTTCTCCAAAAAGCTGCTTATAATGTCCATTGAAAACCAACTCCATCAGATAATACAATACAGTGGTACCTCTAGTTAAGAACTTAATTCGTTCTGGAAGTCCATTCTTAACCTGAAACTGTTCTTAACCTGAGGTACCACTTTAGCTAATGGGGCCTCCCACTGCCGCTGTGCCGCCACCGCACAATTTCTGTTCTCATCCTGAAGCAAAGTTCTTAACCCGAGGTACTACTTCCGGGTTAGCGGAGTCTGTAACCTGAAGCGTTTGTAACCCGAAGTGTTTGTAAGCAGAGGTACCACTGTATAAAAATATGAAATGCAGTATAACTAAACAATAAACCAGAATAGAAAGTAAAGTACAGTAATAGAATATTCAAAAGATTTAAAAAACCAACAATAATTTTAAAATACAGTAATAAACAAATGCTGGGATAATCCGAGCTGAAATCCCTCTGCTAGGAAATCATGAGACATATTTGGACATAATTATAACCAGCCCTAAGTTCCCCACCTGTAAGTAATAGTCACTTAAATCAAATGTGGATGAATAAAAATTCACAGTGCAACTTTGTATGTTTGCTCAGAAGTATGTTAATCTGAATGAGAGCAATTGCTCCAGAGTCAGTGGGTTCTGTTTTTCAATCCTCCACTAGAATCAGATCAAGTAACATGACTGAATCTAGCATGTTAAGATGTGAAAGTCACTTCAGGAATCATCTGAGGGTGACAGAATCATGTAATTGGTCATCACTGCCCAGCTTCCCAAAGTGTATTGACTTACACAGCAAACACCCAGGTCTCATTCAGACACTTGTTGTCTTCCATGGGATCACTGTTGGTGTGTGTGTGTGTGATATTCAACTAGGATCACATGGAAACTCTAGCTATTTGAACTTTCGCCTCTGCATGAGGTTGGAGGGCTGGACACACAAACACAGCCATCGTGGTATGTGCAGTATTGTAGATCTTTTACCTGCTTCTGCAGTCACACAGGTTATATGACTGCTGCATGTTGATCACCCACATGTGAACACCTTCCCCACACAAGCAGTGGGACATGACCATAGTTCAATGGTAGAGTATATATGTTTTGCAGGTAGACGGTCCAAGGGCTGCTGGATGGACCAATGGTCTGATTCAGTATCAGGCAGCTTGAAGAAATGTTCCAGCCGTGGGCCCCAGGTGAACCTGGAGTCCAGTTGGTACCTAGTGCATTCCCATGTGCAATGGTGTGAGACCTCCATGGGTGTCTTAATGGGCAGTAGTAAAACAGCTCCATGGTGAGATCTGCAAGGATCCATTCAACAGCCCCCTTTCTCTGTCATGGATGCTTTGGCTGAGATTCCTGCATTACTTGGGGTCCCTTCCAACTCTACAGTTCTTCTGATTCTATAATAATAATTTATTATTTATACCCCGCCCATCTGGCTGAGTCTCCCCAGCCACTCTGGGCGGCTCCCAATCAAATGTTAAAAACAGTACAGCATTAAGTATTTAAAACTTCCCTAAACAGGGCTGCCTTCAGATGTCTTTTAAAGATAGGATAGCTGCTTATTTCCTTCACATCTGAAGGGAGGGTGTTCCACAGGGTGGGCGCCACTACCGAGAAGGCCCTCTGTCTGGTTCCCTGTAACCTCACTTCTCGCAATGAGGGAGCCGCCAGAAGGCCCTCGTCGCTGGATCTCAGTTTCCGGGCTGAACAATGGGGGTAGAGATGCTCCTTCAGGTTCTATGATTCCATGACATGCTAATATGATTGTGTGAATTGGCTCCAGAGCCCTTGAGATTAAATCCTATAAGGTTTGCTTCCAAGGAAGCATGGAGGTCTCAATGCCAGGTTGCAACAACAAACAACACCATATATAGACCAGGGTATTCCCATTCCGTATCAAAGGACACTGCTGCATAAGTTAAAGTCTTGTGGTGCAGCCTTGCTCCTATCATACCAACAGCAAAATAATCTTGGTGTACGATACCATCCTTAGCCATTTGGCACAGGCATCTCCCCCATCGCTTAAATAGAGTTTCCATTCCCCTTAGCTGTGTTTGTTTCTTCTAAAAATGCTTTCTTTAAAAAGGTAAAACAAAACAAACCTAATGTGCACCTAACCTTACTCCATTTGTGCCAAAATCAGAGCAGACATTTAGAAGAACCAGCTGGCAGAAGGATGAATAAATAAACACAGCAAACATATCAGGCTGAACCTTTTTCCAGAAGTATATTTTTATTTCACTCCACCGTTAATTTCATATCTATTTACAGTTGTGGAAGGAGGCCAGATAATGTATTCTCTTGAAATAATATAAATAGGTAATATGCGCAGGTGAGCTCGGCACTGCCTGGCCTTGGAAGGCATTTTGAGCCTTTAGGAACTGCAAGACGCAGAGAAGTCAATGGCATGGCAACACTGGGAAGGCAAAAGCCATACACTTCTCTCTCTCTGGCAGCTCTTTAAGACATGGGGACCCTTTTTGGACAACCAGCTGGCAACGCCAGACGTAGGCTATAGCACCGATGGATGCTGGCTAGAAGGCAGGCTGAATGTGTTGGGGTGGGAATGGCCAATTAGGTTGAGGTAGTGGCGGTCCAGACCTTGCACGGATGACAAGAAGGTGCTGCGCTGCTGCCCGTGGCCAGTGAGGGGCACAGGAGCGTTGGGGAGGTAAGGGAGAGTGGGACTCCTAGCGGAGCTGTGCCAGGAAAAGGGGCTGTGTCCAGATCCCTGCTGGAACACAGGGTCATTGGGGCTGTGGCCCAAGCAGTCTGGAGCTGGTGGGAGCTGATAGGAGAAGTCTGGCTCTGGGAGAGATCCCAGTGAGGAAAAGATGGGTTCGGTGACAAAGCGAGCTTTGGACTGCAGGAAAGCCAGGATCCGGGCGTACTTGGTGTCCTTGGTCTCCATTCTCTCCACTGTGGTCAGGTAGTGAACTAGGTTCTTCATGCACTCATGGTAGCCATAGTGAAAGTAGTTGGCAAATTCAGCTAGAAGCTCTGTTGGAAAGAAAGAAAAATTGGGTTAGAGCAGTGGTTCCTATTCACATGGAGGAAGCCTAAAAAGCCATTAACTGTTAATAACTCATTCTTGAACTGCCCCCCTTCAAAATCAAATTGCCCCCTGTGGGGCGTGTGGTTGGGAACCATGGCTTGCCTACATGGGGCAGGAAGAAACTCGAACACCCCACCCTACAATCAACACCCTGTTTTTCCTGCCTCATGCAGCAAATTAATGGGAACCTGTTTTGCCTAATTTAGTAAGTAGAGTTTGGAAACTAGTGTTTCCCAAGTGGGGGGGGTCTCAGTGGAGTGGCTAAGTAAAAAAGTAGGACAAGGCTCCTGTACCTTTGCAGGTAGACACCTGTATCTTCTTCACCTGACCATTTTACACATGGGGAAAGGTGCATTGGTTAACATGGGCATCCCGTGTTAGGCAATGCAACATGACAAAGGATGCTTCAAGAATGTTGCTGTTTTCAGATAAGATTCAGCCATATACAGGCAAATTAAAGTTGCACAATTAGAGTTGGTTTGGTGCTCTTGTGTGACAAAGGGCTCATCCACACTTACATTTGTATCATGATTTCTAGGCAGGGGGCCAAGAGGTGTTCCTCTTGTCCTGCCACTTCCCCTGGGAAAACCTGTGGTTTACTACTGCATCAGAACAAACGTCAAATGGGTTTTCTCCAGATTTATGTATGTACTGATTCAGCAGTAAACTGAGGGTTTTCCAGGGGAAGGAGGAGGGACAGAAGAAAAACCTCGGAGACCCGTGCCTAGAAATCGTGGGGCAAATGGAATAAATCGCAGGACAAAAGGGAGTGTGGATGAGCTCACTCCCTACCCCAGTGATGGGAAAACCCACTGGAAAGTGTGAGATAACAATTGCTTGATGTGACATCACATAACCTCCCCACAATAACTCAAAATGAATGCTCAATACACATCCCATGAAGCCTAACAAATCAGGGGTAGATCAGCAAATACAGCATAAGAACAGAGCAACCCATGCTCTGCAGTCTTGCTAGTTAAGGTAGGAAAAGCAGCTATGTTTAAAGCACATTTGAAGCACAGGTTCCCACTCAAAGAATTCTGAGCACTTTTGTTTCTTAAGCACTTGTTGCTGGGAATTGCAACTCTGTGATGAGTAAACTACAGTGCCCAGAGATATTTGATGGAAATAATGTGCTTTAAAGGTATAGTGCGTACACAGCCTCAGAGTGTACTGATAAATTCTCAGCCAACAATTTTGCACTAGACTTCCCCCCTATGTAGCCAAGTATATACAAAAAATATACACCTATTTGAGTATATGTTCACAGCATATCCATCTGCTGAGTGTTAATGCTTCATGTAGCTGATGAAGTGGGCTGTTGGTCACAGAAGATTGTGCCATAATTAATGCATTATTTGTTCATTATTCTACATCTCACAAGTCTGTAAAATCCTTCCTTATCAGGGAATGAAGTTACCTTGCTGGATCAAATGAAATGTTGTTTGAGTCCTGCACTCTTGTCTCCAAAACCACCCAGGCTTGGAAAGCTCAAAGCAACGCCCTAAGCTACTGTAATGCACTGTCTCTAATCACGGAGAGCTCCACCTTCCATTAATTTGCTTACTCCTTTTTTTGGGGGGGGGAGTTTAATTCATGTAAAGGATTGTTTGTTTATGTTCCATGCAATCCATTCACTGTGAGGTAGAATCACTGATTCCCAAATTACATACTGAAAACTGAGGCCACCACCCCACACCCATTTATCTGGGAGCAGGCCCCATTGTAATCAATGGGACTTACTTCTGAGAAGATTTATAGAGGATTGCACTGGGGGTCTGAGTCTAAGAGCTAGTGGGTTGCCCTTGGCGATTTAACCCCTGGACCACTAATCTGGTCGTGAAAACGTTTGTGTCCAATCCTCCCAGTGTCGCGAGCTGAGGTTTCTTTCCCTCTCCACCCGTGTCGCCAGGATCCCCCAATTTCACTAATGGGATTTCCCACAGCAAAGGGTGATCCATTCCCAAGGCTTCTGAGAGCTCAGCCAGCAGTTCCCGGTCAAGGGTCTTCTCCCTGCGCGCCTGCGTGGCCAGAAACGCACAGCCACGGAAGAAGAGCGCGCCTACCCTTTTCTCTCCCCCGAGGGAAATCTGCCGAGTGAAGGGCCCGCAGGTACTGGACGGTCATCTCCAGGATCTCCGCTTTCTCCAGCTTGCCGGAACTCTGAAATGCACAAAGGCAGACAGGACTTCAGGGAGTTGTTTCCAACCCCGTGCACCCGGAGCTTTGAATCCAGCAGAGTGAGTTAACCTAACGACAAAAAGGCTTGCAAATCAGCAGGAAAAAGCCACACTTGTTTCATTCGCAAAACTATGATCACCATCCCCTTATATTGCAAACTGCCACATACACACACCCCTCTCCATGCAAAAAGAACAGCAGCAGCAGCCACTTCTAAGTAACCCCACGTACGCAAATTGCTTCCCCTCTCGGCCGAAAAGACGCAAAACGCAACTTTGGGATGCGCACCTGTTTTGCCAAAGCCATTGGCACCGTCTTCCCGAGTTCGTTCAGACAGCGGTTGATCCGGTCCCTTCTCCTTTTCTCGATCACTTTATGGGAGACCGGGATCCTCTGGAAAATGCATGAGAACGACAGGCTTAGGCTAGACACACGTGTGGTATGGCAAGATGGAAGGGAGCATCGCATCAGAACGCGAAGTCGCTCCACCACCTTTCATTTTTCTTGACGTCTCCAGACGCTTCTCTGCCCTTCCACAACCTACTTCTGTACAGCTTGGAGCAGCCCTTTAAGAGCCAGGCACTTGTGAGCTCCTCCTATCCAACTCTCCAAGCTTTTGACATATTGGAGACAAAAAAGAAACAAAAACCTCCCCAAAACTTAGCAATGCAGCATCCCTACTGCTGGAGACGACGATGGGCCCATCATCTGCTGATGGTACCATAACTCTAAGAAGGCAAACTGGGGTGGGGGACGGCAAAGCCTCAAAACTGAGATATTGGAAACTTCCATACGAGATTTGAAACGTCCAGATATATGAAGCGCCAAATACTGCAAGGTTCCTATATCTCAGCACTTTCGAGACTTCGCCTCTTTCTTTCTATTTCCTGAGTTCTGGTACTGCCCCCCCCCTTATCCCACACATCATCACAAGCCTCAAAACCGATGTCTAAGCCTGTGCAGCTAAGGGCCACCAGTTCCTTGAGGAAAGGTCGAGCCCGGTGGCAGCGCGCAGGGCACCGTTCCTTCTCCAACTCACTTTCCGTTCCTTCAATTTGGAGGCCATCGTGACAAGAAGCCGCTGCTGGGGGAGATGCTCGCAGAAGGCACCCGATGTCCTTCTTCAAGTGGCCCAGGTGGATTGCAGAGCCCTAACTTCCAAGGGGCGGTTTATAAAGCGATCATTTCTGAGGGAGGGGGGGGGATATATTCATGGCCTGCCTGATTCCCCAGGATTAGGGAAAGCAGCCTTAGGAGGAGGAGGAGGCATGCATTAAAGATCAGTTTTTTAAAATGTGTGTATGTTCGGGTCTTCCCCCACCCACCCCACACCCCCAGCCTAAGGGGCGTGTAAGGGTGGGGTGGGGGGACGTCAGATCAGCTTTGTCACTCCACGTGGCCCTTCAAAGGACACGTGATCGGCCCCCGAAGGGCATTTGCATGGCAACGACCCGCGCAGGGCTGAGGGAGCTGAGCGCAGTGGCGCGCCTGCAGGCTGCGAAACACTGGCCGTCTTCTTTCACTGGGCCGCCAAGCGCCTGGTCGGTCTCTCACACGACGGCCGCCTGTTTACAAATCCCAGGCACCCCACACTCTCCCCCCAGCCCAACACACACATGCACACACCCTGCCGCCGCCCCCCTTCCCTGTCCAAGCGCTGACTGCATTTTAAAGCCTGTCCAGAGTCATTAAAGTAATTAAGTAAGCCCTTAATAGGCTGTTCCGCCCAGTTCAAGGAAGAGCCCTTGGAGACGGAGTGGGCCCGTTTGTTCTCAGGCTTTTCTCACACGACTTGGTGACACGTCCATCTTTATGAGAGATGGCAGCCAGGCCTTTTTGTTTCTCCCGCTTTATGTGGCGGGGACACCCCGGCAGGTGTGGGGACTGGAGGCTGGCACGAGATTCTCTCTCTCCCCCCACCCCGTCCTTTAATTTTTTCTCTCCTCCCCTCTGCAGACCTTAGGAGCCTCCCTCAAACCTTTGGCACACGACGGTCGTTTCTGTAGTGTGTGTGTGTCTCTCGAGGTTGTTATTTTTCCCCTCCTCCTCGCCGCTTTGGAGAGGCTCAATTTGTAGCCTATTATCCTATAGGAAAATATCCCATTGAAAAGTGTGAATGGTTTCATTGGGCCTAAATCTTAATAATGCGGGTCAAAGAAAAGAGGGGCAAAATAAAGAGGGGATCGCAGCTGGTCTGAGAGTGCATTATGTGGTGTCACCTGCGAGAAGGGTCGCCTACAGACCCCCTATTCATTTGCCTAATTTTGGTCAATTTAACAAACTTCAGGAGAAATTATTGTGGCATTGTTAGGGAGGGTAAAGCTTTCTGATCGAATTAACAGCATGTTTTGATCCGGTAAATGTCATTAGAAAGAAAGAAACAATCGCGTTTAAAGGGGCTGGGAGTGAAATGCGCCAAGTGGAGACGCCAAAGCGCAACGCTCACAAAGGGAGCAAGTAACTGCCACAGGGAACTTTTGTACACGCACATTGCTGAAGTTTTTACACAAAAAGGCATTATTTCATACTTGAATACGTCTAATCCAACAATTGTCTATTTTCTGCAAACATATTTTCACAGCATTGTTAACTTTTTTCCTAGGGCCTCTGTTCTGGCAGCCGCGCTTCTCGCCTTGAGAGCGCAAAGGGCTGTCTTTTTGGGGGGCAACAAGTTTGTCCGAGGGGGGGCTGGAGAGGGAATAATGGAGCTTGGGGAAGTTGCTTGCTTTCTTTTGAAAGGCTTGAAGAGGAAAATATCGAAAACACACAAACAGGAACTTGAGGAAATTAGCTAAAAAAGAGGGTGTATCCTTTTCCTCTCCAAAGCTTCGGAGCGCATTTTCGTGCCTCTTTCAACTTTCATTGGCACCTTCTTATTTAGTTGTATAGGGACACCCCCGCCCCTCCAACTAGCCCAATTTACACATAGACTAAATGAATAACAAATTCAACTCAGAATGTGACTATAGTTTGCACGTCCAAATAAAAACATCACCTAGACTTTGGAGATGTGTGCCAGTGTATCCAAACTTTAGTCCGTTCCATCGTGGAAACGGTGTATTCTCCAAAGCAATATTATGAACGTGTTTTTTTTTAAAAAAGAGTCAGAAATACAGTTTCAGAGAGACGTTCTGCAAACTGTTTTTAAAAATAGGTTACTGTTCTTCTCCCTGATTTTTATTATTTTATTTTTAGATGAAGGAAACTGTGCCATTTAATATCTCCTAGAACTGTAGTTTTGGTTTGCTTTTGGTTATTTTGTATTTCTTTTTTTGATTGCTGCAAAATGCAAATTCAGATTCTTGTCTGTTTAAAGAGCTCTCGCTTCTTGATGCTTTGTCTGTAACCTGTTTTGTCTGCAACCTGATGGGTGACTAAACAAACCCCTACAAAATGTTATCCAAAACTGTGCGTGTCTTGCACGGTTCAGTCTGGGGGGGGGGGAGACGCTCCTGATTGTTGTTCTGTTTGCAAGATACCCTCTTTCAGAAGGCTTGTAGGTTTCAGTATATTCAATTCTGCACAATGGGATTAGAAACTAACCGTTATCATCCAAATTAACTAAACTGTGAATAGTAAATGTGGGAGCTTTATTTCTCTCCCTCTCTCTCCAGCCAGTGGAGATGGAGTTGATCCTCTTACTGTCTGTGTTAACCGCCAGCTGCAGGCACCTGCAAGGCAACCCCCTTTTTTTTACACCACTCAACTTGTTTATTTGCTTCTTTTTCCCTGCCGGAGAATTGTGTCTCGGTCAGGACAGGCTTGGATGAGGTGCAGCAGGTTCAGGCTGACAATGGAAGCTAGAAAGGACACATGCAAAGTGGATATGACAGGGGTGATGGAGCTGGAGTGCTGGAAACGTTATGGCATATTAAGGGGAGATGTTTGCTTTTACTTCTGATTTCTAACGTTACATCTCTGCTCAGACTAACAATGAGGGCCCCAGACAGACATTATGAGCTGCTTTGGAAAGCTCTTGACACATTTCCAGTTGGAGACTTCCAGAGCATTTATCGTTTAACTCTCCAGAAAAACACAAAAACCCCATCACACCACTCTTTTATTCATCATAAACAGTAGAGTGCACATGTTTCATACATTTAGAAATGGGTACTCCCTATGGCCATGATTTCATGTATATACATAGAAAAAGCTCCCTTGGTTTGCGATTTATTTTTAAGCACTTTAGCAATGAGACATAAATCTGGAAAACGCTCTTGTTTTTCTTCACACACAAGAAACAAGGCAGTTTGAATGCAAAGCAGTTCTTTCCATCCATTTATTTAAAGGCTGCAATCCTCTGTGTATTTTACTTAGGAGCAATCTCCATTGAATAGAATGGGACTTACTGTGTAAACACGCAAAGGATTGGACTTAATGCCTCACGCTAGCATACACCTGTTAAAGCACTGCCGCAAATTGACACCGACTACCATACAGCTATTAATATATAATATTAATTATTTCTTAATTATGCGGTAATTGCATACATTAATGTTAAGAATGTAAATGATACAGAAACATGACATAAACTCATAAAAGCACTGACATCTGCATTTGAGCACAGTTGGCATACTTGGAAGACCCCCCCCCCCAATTCTAAACCTTTTTAGGAAATTATGCTGTAACCTGCACTTGTTTTAACAGGCTAATATCTGGCAAGAGAAATACCACACAAAAGCAAGAAGAGGTTCTTGTTCTTACTTCAGCATTGCCTCTCTACTCAATCCTTCTTCCATAGTAGCCATTTGCTTCATTTAAAGAAGGATCTTTGATTACGGGGATAAAGTTATAGAGAGTCATCCACAGGCATAAATGCAAGTTGGGGCTGGCAGTGAAACAATAATTTCAAATGGTTTTGGATCTTTGTTGAGCTTCACACACCCTGATTTCAGGGCCAATCCAACTGTTTTTGTTTTGTGCTGTCATGGAAAGAAACTGAATTGAGGTCCTAACACCCCAATCCTAGAAATTTTTTCCAGGAAGTAAGTCCCACTGTGATCAATATGTAGCTAATGTAGAGGCAGTGTTGTGCAGTGGTTAGAGTGCTGAGCTAGGAATCTGGGAGAGCAGAGTTCAAATTCCTACTTGGCCATGATGCTCACTGGGGTGACCTTGGGTTAGTAGCTTTCTCTCAGCCTAGCCTACTCCACAAGGTTGTTGTGAGGGAAAATGGGGGAGGGGACTGTGTATGTCACCCTGAACTCCTTGGCGGAATGGTGGCATGGAAAAATAATTGTAATTATGGCAAAATATAAAAATGGAACTTATTCCCACATAAATGTGTAAAGGATTGCAACCTATATTTCCTCCTTTGTTGTGTATGTGTATATGTAGTTATACAGTATAACTGTAACAATACAGTGGTACCTCAGGTTACAGATGCTTCAGGTTACAGACTCCGCTAACCCAGAAATAGTACCTCGGGTTAAGAACTTTGCTTCAGGATGAGAATAGAAATCGTGCTCTGGCAGCGCGGCGGCAGCGGGAGGCCCCATTAGCTAAAGAACAGTTTCAGGTTAAGAACGAACCTCCAGAACGAATTAAGTTCTTAACCCTAGGTACCACTGTATTAAAAAAGTAAATTTAGAAAGAGAAATTATATCTAACCTTGGACGTATATCATTTTACCTTTATATGCTAGAGGTCTTGTATACAGGACTAATAAGAGTAGTATATTCCTATTAATAGTAAATTCCTATTAAATTGTGTTCCAGTGTAAAATAAATATCTTTTCTGCTTTTGTCCTGTGGAGTATGGGCAGCCCGCAGGCCAGGCTGTCCTCTCATATACCTGCTGGGATTGACAAGGCATCTGACCCTCACCTGAATCTCATAGTTCTCCCGACGAGCTGCCTCTGATTAGTTATCATTTAACTCTTGGGGGAATAATTAGCATCACACATCATGTGCATGGAAGTTGCCGAACCAATTAACCAACTAGAAGGATTACTGTTAATAGCACCAGTTTTCCTATAACTTGATATTGCTGGATAGTTTTGATGAACTGCAAAAGCATTTTTAGTTTGCTTTCTGTTGCCACCCTGGAACTTTTCATTATTAGTGCCACTTTGTTTTGTATGATTTCTTGCAGATGAAGGAAAAGAACTTTTCTGCTTGTATATATTGATAATATAATTTTGGTTACTGAGGACAAACAAGATTGTACAAAAACAAGATGACAGGGCAGGAGCTACACAGAGCAGGGCCTTTTCACTGGTGGTGCCCTGTCCTCGCATGAAGTCTTGGGTTAGCAATTTTGGGAGAGGGGAGACTGC